GTATAACAGATCCTTAAGACGTCAAAAGACATCAAATTCTGTACAATTCAAATCTCACAGAAGAAAAGATGACTCATCGGATCAAGCAACTGTTACTAATTTGTTCAATTTTGGTGAGAATGTTGCAATTATTGCCTTTGTTTTCTGTTCTTAGCAGACAGGAGTGGCACAGGTACAGCAACTAAAAGGAAGACAAGATACTCGTCTTCATTCCTCGGTTATTATAATAACTGTTGCCTTCCTCTCAGCTTGAAGCAGTCTGACCACATACTCCTCTGATCTCTGGCAGCAACAAGGCTGAATATTTTTCTCTTTTTCAAACCATTCTCTCTGAACCCCACAGATGGCTGTGTGGGAAAATCCCAGTAGATCAGCATGTCTGAAATGCTCACACCAGCCTCTCTGGCATCAACAACCATGCCATGTTCAAAGTCTCTTAAATCACTGTCTTTCCTACTCTGATGCTCAGATGTCTAAATGCATTGACTTCCTGCCATGTGATTGGCTGATTGAATATTTGCCTTAACATGCAGTTGGACAGGTGTCACTAATGAAGTGACTGGGGAGCAAAATCAGTCCAAGTTCAGTTCTCACTGGACAGTTGTGCTTCTCTACAATATAAAAGCAGTTCAACAAACATTGTATAAATTTTTTTTTTTGTAACCAAAGACAATTCAAAGTCTAACTATAAGTGGGATGCAATGATAAACTGGAATTTACTCCTAAAGGCATCATTGCAGTTGCTTAATTAACTATGACGGAAAATCTAAAATCAAACAAATGTAGGATGTAGAAAGCACATGGGTGCTCTTAGTATATGCTCTAGCAATGCTGTTCTCATTCTTGTAAGGTAAGTATGTCATGAATGATTTAAAGATTTTCATCCATCCATTACATCCACTCCTGAAAAACCTTAACTTGCTGAATGTTAGGCGTCTGAAGACTTTCCAGTAGGTTTGTCTCTCAATTCAAGCACATTTTCTGGTTGAAAGCTTCCCTGAACGCGGTTCACTATTAATTCAGTGTTATTATGATTGTACCACAGTAACAAATGTCTCAAGTTGCTTTATACTGTAAGGTAAAGACTCCGTGGTGCTGAAGACACTGTAACTGTAAAGGCAAAGTGAAAAAACAAACAAAACGGAAATACAATGAAATGTTTGGTCAAGAAATGACTTAAAATACCACTTTTATTTTGAAATAAATAAACAATCCACTTTGTCACTCTAAAGCTAAACATATCAAAACATAATAGGAGGGAAAGGCCCTGTTTTATTAGTATTGATATGATTTCAACAGTAATGTAAGTACAGAGGCACTAGCATGATTAAGCATGAGTAATAAATTAGTAGACATTTGAAGGTCAATGTAGAAGAATATGCCCCCCCAAAATGTAAAAATTCAACATTTACTTGCACAAAAACAAAGAATTAAAAAGCTTTACTCAACTTTTTGATGAACATGATCTTATTCTTTAAAAAAGCTAATCACTGACATATAAGAGCAATTTTACAAATCAAAAGTAAAAATCACCTTGTTTATATAATTACTGTATTCACACTGAGTCAGGCTTTTTTCACAGAACTGGTATAAATGCTTTATTATACATATTATTATTATTATTATTATACATGTCTTGAGTCATTCTTTGGCTGTTAATTATTTTAAAAATGTGATGTCCAGGTTCAGTCACAGGATCATTTCACATCCTCATTAGTGGTTAACAAAATGAAGATACATGCAAGTTTTATTTAATATTCCTAAAATACAAAGGTGGATATTGTACTGGTGTAAGGAAAATGGGATTGTTCTTTCTCAGAAAGACCTCGGAGATAAAAGTAATAATGTCTTCTTGTGTTCTTGAGTGAAGCATCATCATTCAGGGATCTTTAATTTTGCTGTACCTGCACCAGCTGAATAACTCCGTGGCTGAGTGACTCACTGAGAAATAACATATAAGATGTAGACAGTTTTTTTTTTTTTTTTTGGTTAACATTTTGTTACAAAACGACTGCTGTCAGGTAAAATCAGGCATTGGAGTTTTTGTTGTTGCAGAGATCATCTCTGATTCATTTCATCTGTGAAACTGAATAAAAAGCCACATCTTTCCGATCATGGTTTTCTTTAGACAGCTAAGATATAAAATTCTTCATCATTCGAATTACTATTTTACATTCAATGACAATACTTAAAAAAAAAAAAACACGACTTATTCTAAATATTTGTGACCCCATAATGGAAAATAACCCCAACAAAAATGTGAATACTGCATTGGAATGAAAAAAAAAAAAAAGAAATCTTAATGGTCTTCCTGTTTTGTTTTGTTTTTTCTTTTAAAACAACATTACTATCTGGAGCAAAACTGGAACGATGGCCGATCCCGTTTAAAGGTAGACAAAAGCTTTGGCTCTTTAGTTTGGACAGTTTTTGTCACTTGTTAATTCAACCAGCTGTTGTTAGGTAGCACTAGGACTATTGATAAATTATAATTATTATTATTAAATTAATGTAGATTTTTAAATGTTCACAACTGATAAGTTGTAAGTGACAATCCCCTAAATAGTTAATAAATAAGCAGTGGATTGATAGGCTGGAGCTGCTGTTATGGCTTAGTCACACTGGAGTAAAAATAGTATGGCAACCTGTAGTATACTTGTAAATGACTGGTTAAAATCAGTGGTTGCCTGGTGATTGCACAGATTTTTATCTTGTTTGGGGGGGTGACTTGGAGACTAAGATTGCAAGTAGCTGTAATGACCAGCTGGTTGCTCCGAGGTTGAACGTGCAACACCCTAAACCTCTTGGTGACCACTCTCCGTGACCACTTTCAGGATGATTGCACAGGCTACCTGGTGGGAGGAAACTGGTCTCCAAGTAACTGCGGTCTAACTTGGACTGAGTGCAAATAATTGCCTTCTAATTCATAAACACAGACAGATTGCCAAAACATTTCAGTCAACAGGGGACACGACTCTGCTGGTTGCCAACTGGTTTTATTCTGGTTCTATTCTTATATAAACGTGAAGTTGCCGAGGGCGTGTGTCATGCTGCTGGTAGATTGCTGTCCAGCAGCAACTATGTCACTATTTGTGAATGTCTCTTTCATATCTACGAGGTTCTGGATGAATTCTGAATGTAAGTAGTTAATATGAATTTCTGTGTACATAAACAACAGGTTTGCAGCATACGGTAACACATTTGTGATTGCCATATTATCACAAACAGATGTAACTGCCAACTTGAACCTATTCAGCTGCAAACTGATAACAGATTGAGTCAATCTTATTGCCATTTTATCACCGTCTTGATGCACCAAAGAGTGCGATTGGTTGCAGACCTGATCCCCCAGTTCATTCAATAAATCATACAGCATTCATTGAACACTGTATAATTTTGATCTTGCTGTGTAACTGTTTAGCTTACATACCTGAAACTACAGTGGGGCAAAAAAGTATTTAGTCAGCCACCGATTGTGCAAGTTCCCCCACTTAAAATGATGACAGAGGTCAGTAATTTGCACCAGAGGTACACTTCAACTGTGAGAGACAGAATGTGAAAAAAAAAAATCCATGAATCCACATGGTAGGATTTGTAAAGAATTTATTCGTAAATCAGGGTGGAAAATAAGTATTTGGTCAATAACAAAAATACAACTCAATACTTTGTAACATAACCTTTGTTGGCAATAACAGAGGTCAAACGTTTACTATAGGTCTTTACCAGGTTTGCACACACAGTAGCTGGTATTTTGGCCCATTCCTCCATGCAGATCTTCTCGAGAGCAGTGATGTTTTGGGGCTGTCGCCGAGCAACACGGACTTTCAACTCCCGCCACAGATTTTCTATGGGGTTGAGGTCTGGAGACTGGCTAGGCCACTCCAGGACTTTCAAATGCTTCTTACGGAGCCACTCCTTTGTTGCCCGGGCGGTGTGTTTTGGATCATTGTCATGTTGGAAGACCCAGCCTCGTTTCATCTTCAAAGTTCTCACTGATGGAAGGAGGTTTTGGCTCAAAATCTCACGATACATGGCCCCATTCATTCTGTCCTTAACACGGATCAGTCGTCCTGTCCCCTTGGCAGAAAAACAGCCCCATAGCATGATGTTTCCACCCCCATGCTTCACAGTAGGTATGGTGTTCTTGGGATGCAACTCAGTATTCTTCTTCCTCCAAACACGACGAGTTGAGTTTATACCAAAAAGTTCTACTTTGGTTTCATCTGACCACATGACATTCTCCCAATCCTCTGCTGTATCATCCATGTGCTCTCTGGCAAACTTCAGACGGGCCTGGACATGCACTGGCTTCAGCAGCGGAACACGTCTGGCACTGCGGGATTTGATTCCCTGCCGTTGTAGTGTGTTACTGATGGTGACCTTTGTTACTTTGGTCCCAGCTCTCTGCAGGTCATTCACCAGGTCCCCCCGTGTGGTTCTGGGATCTTTGCTCACCGTTCTCATGATCATTTTGACCCCACGGGATGAGATCTTGCGTGGAGCCCCAGATCGAGGGAGATTATCAGTGGTCTTGTATGTCTTCCATTTTCTGATGATTGCTCCCACAGTTGATTTTTTCACACCAAGCTGCTTGCCTATTGTAGATTCACTCTTCCCAGTCTGGTGCAGGTCTACAATACTTTTCCTGGTGTCCTTCGAAAGCTCTTTGGTCTTGGCCATGGCGGAGTTTGGAGTCTGACTGTTTGAGGCTGTGGACAGGTGTCTTTTATACAGATGATGAGTTCAAACAGGTGCCATTCATACAGGTAACGAGTGGGGGACAGAAAAGCTTCTTACAGAAGACGTTACAGGTCTGTGAGAGCCAGAGATTTTCCTTGTTTGAGGTGACCAAATACTTATTTTCCACCCTAGATTTACGAATAAATTCTTTACAAATCCTACCATGTGGAATTCATGGATTTTTTTTTCACATTCTGTCTCTCACAGTTGAAGTGTACCTCTGGTGCAAATTACTGACCTCTGTCATCATTTTAAGTGGGGGAACTTGCACAATCGGTGGCTGACTAAATACTTTTTTGCCCCACTGTAAGTATTGGGACCACCACCCAAATTCTTTATATATCGAGTAAGATATTGCTGTTATATATAAATAATCAGCGATGTTCTTAAAATTGATGTTTGCAGTGTTTTAACTACTTTTTTCTGGGTCTCGACTAACAACAGAACATTTCTAACATATAAAGCACAGGCCAGAGGTTCAGCAGATATTATTGACAACAGTATGGATCAGAGCTGCTAGACCTAAGTCACCAGGGATCTTGAACAGTGACTCAAAAATCAATGACTTATGTCAACAAGGGAGTATCCGGGATGCGGTGTCTCTCTCACGATGATCAATGGCATAAATCGATTGTAGAAAGTTGGAGGAATGAAAAGGCTGCCGACCATTACAACTCATTAAAGCGTGTAAGCTCACTCTTCCTATCTGTTGTGGTGGGGTACAGATTTAGTTCAGTCTTTCTTAAAAGAAAAAAAGTCAGTCTTTCTTTTTCTGATTTATTTGTCGAATTTCAGTATAATAATGCATTTGAAAATGATCTTACTTTAATAAGGACTCGATTTACTGCAGTTGGACAGTACTGGTGTCAGATAAATCACAGATGACCAGATACATTATGAATGTATATGTAACTGCCCAGCAGTTTGGACTTCTTTACAGGCTAATGTGTCACAAACAACTAAATGTGATGTACAAATGAAAAAGAATCTGTCTACACAGGACGTAAAGAGCATTCCAGATGTTTTTTTAATGTGTTACTTCTTCCACATTTGTACAAAGCATACCATAATACTTTAGGCTGATTCATTCCTCAGTTATAGCCATCCACTTGTTGGATCCAATATCCAGTATTAAAAAATCAAACTGCTGATCTATTACATTTACACCTCATTAAAACCTGGCATTATATAGGCTCTTGACAGTGACCCCTGAAAACCCAGTCACACAGGCCTTGAGACCAGCTGGTGACGGCCTAGCAACCACTGGTGCCTGACTGATTGGTGAATTGTTGCTCGAGGTTTCTGGCTGTCACTGGGGTAAATTGGTCACACAGAACTATACAGTGTTGCACCAAAATCCTCCTTACAATTGCTTTGGTCAGTAAGACACTGCATTGGCTGCCTGTAGTTTGTGTGAAAGATGCTGACATGTCGGCACTAGCCAAATATATGCTAAGCAGAAAAACTTCAGACTTAATTTCCTTTAATGCAGTAACATTTCAGGAATGATTTACTGGTTGACATACAGACAAAAATGACAAAAAAAAAAAAGCCTGGGACTGTTTGAAGGAATCCAATCTTCAGATGTCACACAGCTTTTGCTAATCATTGTGTGTCCAATCATTTATTTATTGTCACAACGATATTTACTTCTTTCTGGTACTGTAACCTAAGTCATAGTTACTTGAAAATATGAATTTTAAGAAAAATAGGAGCTTTTAGAAATACAGAATAAAGATGAGTCTTGGCAAATCAGTCTCAGATCTCAGATATAACTTACCAACTTTTAAACAGTCCTTGGTCCCAATTGTTCTACAATGTGTTGATATTTTGTGTTAATATTTTGGTAAACACTGAATGAAACCAATGGATGTGATCATGAGAAATGATGCAGAAAATCTTTTAATGCTTTGGAAAATTGATCGCAATAATAACAGAAAGAGAAAACATCTCCTTTCAGAGTAAAGTTGGTTATAGTTACAGTTGTTTGTGTGTGTGTGAGAGTGTGTGTTTTTTTTCTTTGTTTTTTTTTAAAGATATAGCTGTTACATCACCTGTGGCTAATCTAAGGTGTCAGGCTCAGCGTCCATGCATGTCTCCCAGGGGTTACGTGGCATGTGAGGCATGGAGATGAGGAGTAGGGCGACTCCACTGAGGATGAGCAGCGTAAAGGAGGCACAGGCGCAGGTAAATGACCAGGAGTAGTAGTATTCAATCCAGATGGTCTCATCACTGGCGATCATGCGCTTCACAGACTGGCGCATTACTTCGACAGAGATGATGATGCAAAGGCCTGCATGCCAGAAAGAGAGAACTGGTTATAATCGGCTTCAGAAAAAGCAGATGCTTCATTTGCATTCATGCCATTTGTGTTGTCAAGACGGTTCAGTCAAACGCTGTCACAGTTTCTCGTTTATACTAGAAGATTGTCAGTTTTATTTTAAGTTTGGAACAGATCGGCGCTCACACCAATCATAGGTAATTTAACACTTAGATATTTGAAATTGTCACCTCAGAGAAACATCAACTCTATCGGCATTTGACACCTCTCTCTCTCTGTCTCTCTGTCTCTCACAAACATGAAACAATTTTATTAACTCTGCATAAGTAACATTTATCACCAGTGAAGAGGGTGTGCAACACAATGACAATGACACAGCTCATATTGAGCTGTAAATACAAGGCAAAATCATCTGTAATAGCTGACCTGCAAAGGCAAAAAACATCCCAGCAGGCCGGAGCAGATAGTCCCGCCCTTTCCCAAAGGAGAAGATTACACACAGGGTGCCCAGGATCATGAAGAACAGACTGAAGATGGCAATGGCTGCTGCTGAGATATTGTACTCTGCAGAAAGAGAAGAAAAAAAATTAGTAGAAATTAGTAAGAAGTAGATGAATGAAAAGGGGAAACGAAGAGAGGGAAAAATACAGTAAACACGGTCGTCTTTGAGAGCAGGGGAAGAAGAGAAAGTGGAGGTGATTAAAAACCGAGACAGTGGGTAGGAACAGAAGAGCAGGATTACAGTATCGTTTACATAATAATTGTTTCAGTACTGCGCTCAGCAGAGTTGTGTCACAGATAATTAGCCTTTAAATTAGCCCTACGTTTAAAACAACAGCCATTTATCCAAACTGGCAATAATGCCGCTTGCATGACAGATAAGATACTGAAGGCTTATAACAAGATGATTAGAACTTGTCGCTCTCTTCCCGCCCTCTTCCTTTTTGTCTGTTTTCCAGATAAAGATAATCTATTCTTTTCTTCTCTGTAACACTCCAGCTGTGACTCAAATGATCCTTGGAGCGTCCTATTCCATTTCAGCACCCCGGCTGGGGAATAACACCGAGTGTAAAACAACCTTACACTCCGTCTTTCCAGTGCAGGTTGTTTTTCAGGACTTTTGTCTGTCTGTGTGTATGAAGGTATGTGAATGCATCCCAGTGTTTGTGCATTTCAGACACAGTTACGTGTTTGTGCCTCACTGCTGAACAGGTGTTTTCAGACAGTCTGAATTTGATGTTGTTTCTTGTATTTTATTCTACGTAAAGTTTTCTGTTATAATTTATTTTTAGACTTTAAAAAAAAATCATATATATTGTTTATTGCATTTGGGTTTTTTTTGGTCTCAGTGTTGTAAGTGATGTTTCCAGCCATACTTGTATGAAACATATTATAAATGCCTTTATATGGAGTCATATAATAAAGCATGAATCTGTAGAAGGCAAACACGGCTTAATACACCATAAAAATCCACACATAAAGCAGTAACTATAGCCATAAATATTTTACATATATTTTTTCATGTATTTCTGCACATATTATTATCATATGAAAGTATATTTATCTTGTATTATTCTACTACAAGATAAAACTATGAATTCTTGTTTTTCCCATTCATCTATTTTTTAAAATATTCTTGATATTAGCAAATTTCATTAGTGTTTACAGGGTACTGTAAATGTCCTGCCCTGTCTTTACACTATATGGACAAAAGTACTTGGCAAGCTACAAATTACACCTACAGGAGCTGCTCAGCCATTCAAACCCCTGGTACGAAGCTCCTGGCAGACAGTTTTGCCAGTGTTAAGGCTGCAGGAGGTTTGTGACTCTGCAGTCTTTGAGTCAGCAAAGTAACGGTGACTTATACACACCATGGCAACCCTGGTTTGCCTATTTGTGGCTAAACACTTCCATATAACACAGCACTCAGTTGGTGATGGAAAATCTAGGAAGAGAGAAATTCAATGTGCTTTTTAGAGTGACCCATTTTTTAATAGATGTTTGTAAAGGCTGACTTCATGGCTAGATGCTTGATTTCATACACCTATGGAGATGGGACCTAAAGCACCTGAATTATAAAACTGAGAATATATAGTGTATACTGTGTAGTGCATTTATACATATACTGTACCTGTTGAGCGTACCTATAACGTTTATCTAAAGCAGTGTTCTCTAAACGTATATCTTTATGTCTGTGTGCAGTGTCTTTCTCTCTACCTGAAGTTAAAAGCATCAGCTTGTCATCATAAGAAGAGAGTCGCTTTTTCACTGAATCACATTTACTTTGAAAATACAAAAGGGATAAAAAGATCAAATCTGAGGCTGTAGAAGATTCATTTCTCATCTGATTTCTGAGCGAAATGGTGTGCACTGTATTTATGTTAAAGCTTTATCTTATTATATGGAAAATCAAAAGGCAAACCACAGCGTTCTGCCTGGTTTTTTTTCAGAGTTGGATGCTGTTGTAACACATGTAGCCTGTGTGGCTTTGAGGAAACACCCACCTTTCTGGGTCTTGACTTCAAAAACTTCAGCTTCCTCCCCCGACGTAAAGTGTTTGAAGTAGGAGCAGTTTTTTGCTGCAGAGTAAGAAAGGATGGGGAAAAGAGGTGAGAGAGAAAGAAAGAGGGAGATGAAACAGGAGGGTGAGACAATAGTACAGACTGAATCCTTGTAGTCTGTTAGAAAACCATATGAATTAATTACACACACACACACACACACGTCTGGTTTGCTATCCTCGTGGGGACATCCCATTGACATAATGCTTTCCCTAGCCCCTAACCCTAACCATCCAAAATGAATGCCTAACCCTGACCCTTACCCTAAACCTAACCATAACCTAATTGTAACCCTGACACTAAAACCACATTTTGAGAGTAAAAATTGCTTTCAACCCCGAGGGGACCTGGATTTTGGTCCCCACGGTGCAGAAACTCCCCACCAGTATAGTAAATGTCAGATTTTGGTCCCCACACACGCACACGCACACATACATATACAAAGCTATGACAAACTAAACAGGGATTGTGGTTTGTTGCATTTCTACTAACCTAAACCTAGTTTTTGTCCATGCTGTGCTTTAAACTACCTTATTTATCAGCTATTATTCTATCAATAGACTTTATGAAACTCATGCCTTGTGTATCTAGAACTAATTTCACACGCATGAAACACCTGATAATCATACTATACTGTAACTTGTAACTTTTTTGGAAGTTAATTATTGTTAATATAAATCTGTGTTTTGTGTTCATATACAATGTTCTTGATTTATTACTTCTAACGAGCAGTATTCTGGACTTAAATCTTTATGTCCCTTTACTGTGAAGGATGGCAATTTTCACAGTACAGTCTGTGGGATGCTCTAACGACTCCAGTCCACACCAGAGCTGCCGATTGATCACACTGACAAAGCTGAACAGCTTCCACCTACGTAGATCTGGTAGCAAGGTAACATTACTGACTGACATTTTACAGTTATGACTGATACACTACATTAAATGGTGCATAAGACTATTGTGAGCACACAGTACTGCAAAAACAGTCTTGTTAGTTTTATCATCTGGAAATTTTGTAGATTTGCATGAACAAATGTTTTTTTTGTAATACTGTTGTGACAATGAACATCTAAACATCTAAACTCTGTGTGTGGCTATATGTAAAGTGGCAGCCCACGAGGGAGGTTGAGAATGAAGATCCTGTGGGACTTCTATGCAGATGGATCCAGATACAAGCAGAGGAAGAAGGTCATAGTGACAGATGTAGCTATAACGAATCATAGCAACATCAGAAAAAAGGAAGATGTAAAGTCTGAGAAGTGCCAAGGGTGAGTGGTTCCATCAGATCCCACAAATGACATCTGAGATCTCTGTCCAGTAGAGCACAGTCCTAGGAACAGCAAAGATGCTGTGCAGGGCCCTTAAACTCTCATGCCTCTGGTAAAGGACCCGTGTTTGAAGGATTAAGATCGCCCACAGGGTGAGTTGAAAATCTGATATATATTGCTGTTAGGCTTTTAGGCATGTACATACTGTATAGTCAAGAAAACATACTAAAGCTCAAACTGAATAGGAATAAAAAGGAAATCGAAGGAACAGATGGGCTGGTCTACTGGCATTTTCTCACACAACCATTTCTATGATTTGCAGAGAATGTCCAAAAAAGAGAATATATCCAGTACCCTGGGTGAAAATGTCTCATCGATGCCAGAGGTCAAAGAAACTTGTTACAAACAAGGTATGCAGAAGAGCACTCTGACCACACAACACATTGAGCCATGACGCAAATAGACTACAGTAGACAATTTATATGGGCTCATCAAAACTGGAGAATAGAAGATTGGAAAAACTTTGTCTGGTCCGATGAGTCTCGGTTTCTCCCCCGAAATTCAAATGGTCAAGTCAGAATCTGACATAAACACCATGAAAGCATGGAGCCTTCCTGCCTTAGTTCAAAGTTTCAAACTGCTGCTGGTGGTGTACTGAAGTGGGGGAAAGAGAAAGAAAGTAAGAGCTGATACTTTAACTTGTGTTCTTACTGTCTTGGAGCAGCTGTGACCACATAATTTCCTTCCGGATTAATAAAGAATTCAGTTTCTGATTAATTTCTTGGCGCACCTTCGGTCCCTTAGTACCAACTTAGCAGTATTTAAACACCACAGCTCACCTGAGTATTCATGCTGACCATGCCCATATGGAAAAGATATATATATATAAATCTTATAAAGTTTGTATCTGTCTTGTGTGAAACTTGTATGAAAAGCATACAAGAGTGAAAACAGATATAAGATCCCTTGAAAAATTATATAAATGAAACTTGTATGTTTTGGATACTTACTAAAAAAATATATGAAAGTAATGAGAAAGTGGCCCCTTTCATGAGTAAATCATATAAGCCTTATATAATTCATTATATGAAGTAGGCCACATCTGATGCAAGTCTTTTATAAGTTTTTTCTTTTCCATATGGGTGTCCACCCATTTATGACCACAGTGTACCCACCTTTTAATGGCTGCTTACAGGAGGATATTGAATCATGGCACAAAACTCAGATCATCTCAAACCGATTTCCTGAACATGACAATGACTCCACAGTCACCAGATTTCAGTCCAATTGTGCATCTTTGGGATGTGGTAGAACAGGAGATTTGGATCATGGATGTGCTGCAGACAAATCTGCAACAACTGTGTGATGCAATAATGTCAATACAGACAAAATCTCTGAGGAATGTTTCCAGGACCTTATTGAATCTGTGGCATGAAGAATTAAGGCAGCAATGAAGTCAAAACGAGGTCCAACCTAGTACCAGCTAGGCATACCTTATAAGGTGGCTGGTGAATTTATGTAAATTAAATAAAAAGAAAGTTGTCCCAAGTTTGCTTCTTTCTTTTACAGGTAAGCTAATTTAGACTGTAAAATGCTAGCATTCTGCAAATTAATGCTAAGTGCTTGATTAAGGACATACGAAAACAATTCAAAAACAAACAAACAAACTTAATGTATAAATAAGAAACGGCCCTCCATGTCGTTTGATGGTGACCACTACAAAAAGGTCGGCGTCAAATATTCTCTGCTGCACGGTTCTGTGGCGTCCTTAATACTCACAACACTTAAAAAATCAACAATGATAATGGCTGAAGTTCCTCTTTGGCTTTATGATCTCAGTATGCTCAACACCCCCTCCAAGTCATAGCAGTGTTCTGTGGCGTGCCATCATCTTAGAATAAAGTTTATACTTAAATCCTTCACTGTCTCCCCTGTTGGCTGTATTCTTCTGAAATGAGTTCACACCGATTTCTACAAGGGAATGATGCATCTCTGCACTTTGCTTGCCCAAACTCTGCTCCTTTGACCACAATCTTCAAAATAACCTCATAGCTGTAGAAAAATGATTCCTGGGTGCAGTCATTTCCCACACATTTATCTATTTGTTGCCTCTGAAGGCAGCTTGGCTGAGAGCGAGAGGTGGAGTGGACCTTAAAGGCCAAGCGAGTGTCCCTTCGTTCCCTTCTCGCTGAGATTAAACCCATAAAGCAGACAGGTGCTTTCTCTGTCTACACAGAGATGGACAATGTTTGTGTGCCGGTGTCTGCCTATATGTCTGCGTGTGTGTGTGCATGTACTACGTGTGTGTACCAGGCAACAGTGGGGCTGTTTGTTACTCGGGATGAGAAAGAATCACTAAAGAGGTAACCTAGCAACAGGCTGCTGCAGGTCTTGGCTAGCCTGAATGCTATTTGCACATGTAAAAGCATATTAAGGGGACTGTGCTTGTATGTGTGAGCGTGTGCATGGGTGTGTGTGTGTGAGGCTGGAGGTGGGGCCGAGGTCAAAGTGCAGCACAGACATTATACAGATATTATTAAAACAATATATTATATAATACACAATAAATTCTTTTTATCGGTCATCTCTCATTAAGCGTTTTTATCTCTGAGGCTAATCTAATCTGACTTAATATGTGTTTGTGTGGCTGTGAGATTTTCTCCTGTCTCTCTGAAGACCATCATCTGCCTTCCACACAAAGATAAGACAAATAAAAGACCCTTAGAATTATGCAAAGAAGCGCCAAAAGACAAAACCGCTCTTTAATTGTTTTATCCTGATTGAGAGTTTCAATGTTGAAAGTAATAAAAAAGGATTGTTGCTAGTCCTCTGAAGCTTCCCCGTCTGTTTGCGGTTTATGTGGATAACAGTGATTTATCCCCTGAAATTTGCTGCACTTTTAAGTAAGTCTTTGATTTCAGTCTGTTTTCTTCTATTAGCTGCTCGTTAAAAAAACAAAGTTGAATATTGTCCAACTGCTGCCCCCTAAGCACCAGACATTCGTAGACATTTTTATAGCCTGTGTTGTGTTTTCAGGCTGTTGCAGACTTGAATTCAGACAGATACTTCCAATAATTAAGTGTTGCTTAGAGATCTAAAACATCTCATCATACAAACACAGCGAGTCAGGTTGAACCCGGTTCAAAAGCAAAGTTCAGTAGATGCTTGATCACACCTAGCTGTCTACATTCATCTAATGCATTAAACTGATATTTTGTTTATTGTGAAATGGTCATAATGACACAGCCACTCCATTTCAACATAATAAATAGACTTGAGAACGCTGGATACTTTCTCTGCTTTGGGCCAGATTCTGCAAACCCTATAGACTGTAAAGTATATAGTCACAATGCTGCTTTTACATGAGCAAGACAGCTTGGAGAAATAGCTTAACAATCTAGATGGAACACAAATGGTGACAATACAAAGTCATTAAAGAGCAATGTATTGTTTTTCCCTCCAGTGTGGGCAGGATTTAACAGTGCTCAGTCTCCATTCTAACAAGCTGATGACCTCTGTGGAAAGCATGGAAATAATAGAGCCTCATTGTTAATGTTGCAGCATGGAGCTGTAGCTACGCACAATGTTACGACACTTTCAATTAAAATTTAATCTAATTCCAGTAACCCTTGGGGAGTGAAAGTTTATGAAACACACTGTAGCACACAACTATAAGTGCGATTTTATGTATTTTAAAAATAATACACAGATGTATGTGAAATAAATCTGGAAAAATACAGGTTGATGGTTAACAAACTAAGTCATCATTATGACTTGTATACCTAGTACCTAACAGATATTTCACATTATGATCTTCCAACTGCATTTTTTATATTGTAAAAGCTTTAACAGAACTTGTTTGTAGCTTCAAAGTTAAATCAGAGCCTCAGATTTTTTGTTGTTGTTGCAAAAGTAGCATGCCAGTCTCCACATAATCATTTTTGTTACATTATGTGATTTGCTGATTCATTGAACGAAAAAAAAAAGATCATACCACATAACTAGAAAAACTCAAAGTGTTAGAAGATGAAAAGTCCAGAGAATAAATCTCTCTTTTCCTCATTGCTTAAAACAGACAGAAGACAGGGCGGGCAGCTCAACACATTTTCTATCCGAGGTGTCAAAAGCCGCCGGCATCGTGGAGATATGCATACGTGATTCATCAAAACAATTTAACCGCACTGCTGCTTTGTGCGTGCCAAAAAATTGTAACTTCTGTTGCCAAGTTACGGTTACCCTGTTGTTAGTATGATTGCAATCCAGCACAAACATTAACATTTTGAATTTTAGCAAAAGCACGCTGTCCACAAATAGTTAAAAAAAAAAAACCCAAATCAAGCACGGTGGTTAATCTAAACAGTGAGCATTCACAGAAAAAGAGAACATCTGGGTGCGTATCATCAACCTTGCAGTCAGGGTAATGTGGAGATTTAGTTCCAGGGGAGAGTGATTAGGACGAGCTATCGCCTGTCATTTTAGTTTCACCTCTTTCCATTAAACTCTGCTGCTGCCACCTTCTATCTTTGATGTTCAGCTTCCAATTTACCCATTCCTTACTCTTCATCCTCCTCGCTCTACCTGTCACTATGCCCGTTTCTTTCTTCCACCTTAGCTTCCTTTCAGTCTTCCCCCAGTTAAGCATTCCTGTGGTTTTTGCACTACGGTTAAACAGAATTGCTTCTATGTTTTTAAACATAATAACCTAGAAGATTGTACAGAATTTGCTGCAGGATTGTCAAAGAAAACATAATATTTGGTAATTAGGAAACTGTTCTGGTTTTCTAGCTTAACAGAGCAACCGGGTAGTTCTGGGTCAATGTGAATGGGATGCATCATGGTGGTATTTGAATGGCTATTCCACCTGAGCACTGGTATCTGGGACAAAACAGCACAGGAGAGTCCTCACTACCCTCATGTCTCCTGTGTGTGTCCTGACCTTTATTATGAAATTCAAAACAGTAAAGTTTCTTAGTCCTCTGCTCATCCTGCAAGCAACACCAGTAATTTCTCTGTAATTTCTTTTTATATATTTCTAATTTACATATCGTGGAATGATTCATCTGAAATTTTGAAGCTGTGAGTTGTTTTCTGAATACCAAATTCCAGCGACACACCTCCGCAGTTTTGGGCTCTGCGCTCAGAGCGTGGTTGGAAAGAAAGAGAAAAGGGTGGCTCAAGGGGATGTTGGTGCTACTGTGTCTATGAATCGAGGGCATTTGAAAGGCACTGTGTCAGAGGCAAGCTTTTATACTTGAAGGTGTTTTTTGGAGCTCCAAAAAAACACCATGATGGTTGACCTCTTGGAAGCACTAAAACATCATTGATAATGAACTCTTCTCCCTCGCTTCTCTGAGCACATATGTGAAGGAACACATACGTGCGCACAAAAGCACCATTTGTGCTCTTGATTTCCCAGCCGAGCTGCATGATGCGATCCATAAAGGGTTTGTTTGGTTTTTACAGCACTCAAGCTGTCATGCGTCATTTGTGGGAAGCTAATTTCAAAAGTCATTTGGGTTCACTGCTTTGCTGCCGCTGTTACGCAACCCCTTTCGCAAAAGCTGTGTAATTGTGTCTATATGAAAAAAGGGGTTTGTGTACGCTCCTCATGACGACTGACTCCCCCTCTCTTTGGGGAAAATGCAAATCTGTGTTATTAAGTCCAATAACTGCTGCTTGCTTGGGTATACTCTTCATCAAGGATGTAATCTGTTATAGTGCACTCATGAGCAACCTGTTTTTTTTCTTCTTTTTATGCTTGACACATTAAATTTAGAAGCAGATAAGGTAACACAGGTGTTAGCCAGTCAGCCCCTCTGCTTGCTTTTGCTTGCCTTCAGAATCTGGCATGCTTGTACATATTCCACATATTTTGGTGTCATATTTGTCGCCTGGACTAATAAATCCAAAACTATCAAAGTAATTAATTAGAACTGCATGGCCAGCCACACTAATTGGTTTTTAGCTGTTGTCTGCAATCAATTAGAACAGTCAAATTTACTTTTCAAGGCAGACCTAGTTGCACGGTTTTGTTGCCTGGCTTTTTAAATTCAAACAAAAGCCCCCTTATGTTAAAAAAAAAAAAAAAAAAAAAAAAAAGACACTCGAGTATTTTAGGCACATACAATGTGCGCTCTACCTAAACCCTCACCGCTCAGCCTCATAGCACTCCATCAAGAAACAAGAAGACCTCTGAAGGCAGAGAACGGCTGTTTCTTCCGCAGTCCTCTCTCGCCTCATGTCAAACTGCGCAGACCTGGCAGACTGATCTGGTGGATGGAAGTGGAGAAAAGCATCTCAGAGGATGCGTTTTGACACCTTTTCCTGGGCACTGGAGCGGGTCAGTCAGCCTGGTAAGGATGTTCAGTGACACAAAGCACAAAATAGGCTGACCAATCAGCGTCTTGCCCTGCGTCGTCTTTGGATTACAGTGCATAAAAGGAAGCTAGAACTAGAGAAGCACCGCCATGCCTACAGAGAGCAGCAGGGTCACAAATGAGAAGAGATGGGCTTGTGTAACCAAAACTATTCAGCCTGGCGTGGGAGTAAAATGCTAGGGCAACCACACACCAAAATCTCTTAATCTTTTCAGTTGATATAAGAGTGACTCATTTTCTCTCATTACCCAGATGTGAAAGCGTCATGGTGGTTGTGGGAATGTAGCCAAGGGGTGTCTGACAAAACAGCTGGTATATTTTTTTTGTTTCTCACTGCAGACCCGGAGAAATGGAAACAAACTTAAGGCTAAGCTGAACTCTTGGTGTGGCGCCAGAGAAGCACTTGAGATTTCGCACAAATATTCCGACACTGTTTTAGTGCTTCTGTCAGGCTGTGATGGTTGTGACTGGATCATTTGTCATACTACATGCTGCCCTTCATGCATTCCACAGGTGACTGACTTGTCCACGAGGAAAACAAATCCCTAGCAAAGGTCTTAATAAACAAAAATGTATCTGTGACTATTTTTGCAAGGTGTTCAGATTTTTATGACAGGTAGCTGTCACACTTCTTTTCCACCTGCCTTTTGCCTCCACCTCAATTTGCATGAGATACATGCAGTAAAATAAGGTGCAGCATCATCTTTCCTCTCTCTCCTCCATCTTCAGACTCTCTAAAAGAGCACCCAGTCTCGCTCTCTCCACATAGGCATTCCTGCCTTTACACGCCCAAGCAATCGTCTGTTTCTTTCCCCCCCAAGTCTTCTTCATTCCTCCTGAGTCTCCCAGGTGTACTCTAACTCATGAGCTGGAGCGGGAAGCCACACTTCATTAAGGCCTGCGCTGATCCTGAGGTGCTGAAGCCGGAGGCAAAGTCAATGACAGAGTCAGAGCGAAATCTTTCAGTTAAGCTGCAAGGCACGCACACACAGCCAGAGGCCAGGGAGAGACACTCTTTACCCCCAGGGCTGGCTCTGTTCAGAGAGTTTCTAATTAAAGACTTTTTTTTTTTTGGTGGAAAAAGAGTCTTAAATAAAAGCTTGACTTGTGTTTTTGACTTATTTTCAGAGTTACAGTATGAAATGTTACGCAAGTATCCAAAAGGACTTCTAAAATGACTGAAAATTACCTGACTTTTTGACAGATTTTGCACCATCTTTGGCTCTCTTGTACTTTTGCTTTCTTTTTTTTAACAGCTTGCAATTAATGGAGTTCTTTCCACAGCTGAGTGAATTTAAGCATCCTTCAAAACGCTGTTTATCAGCGGCATCAGAAAAAAATCCTTAAAAATGGCTCTCTAGACAGTTATGTCTATTTTGATCAAAGCCAGTTGCAAATCTGTTTTGACACTATGAGTCAGACAAGACAAAAGAGGTATCAGTTAAAAAGCATCCGAGCTTTCATTTTAATATAGAAAGAGTCAGACGGTATTTTGACAAATGATGTAAGACTATGCTGTTTTCTGAGAAACAGCAGGGAAATTAGAGGATAAGGCTGTGAGGTAAACTGACTTTTATTTCTCTTTGTACTCTGAAGGTTGAAGAGCCCGAACGGAACAAAATCAACAAAGTCGTGTTAACTGTGAAGTACGGCAAAAAAATAAAATAAAAACTCGCACTTCCGTTGCGAACTTGACTTCAGCCGTTGGAATGTGCTTAATTGGCAGTCTGTTCAGTGACTTCCTCTGAGGAAGATAATAATGGTTCGCTGGGAAGCTGGTCATAGAGCTGTTAAACATTCAGTCCAAGCACATGTCCGTGTGTGTGTGTGTGTGTGAGTTTGTGTGAATGCATGCACACATGCCAGCACGTGCCAACATATGTGCTGGCATGTGGCATTGTATGCGTGTGAAAGGAGAAAATAGAGAAAGGGACAGCTGCACAGATGGAAAAAAAAAAAAGCTGACCAGCACTGCTGCAGGCTCACACTGACACTTGAGCCTCACACGTTTAGAGAATGGGTTTGTTTCCAGTTCCTCCTAAAAATAATTTTAGGAGGAATGAATTTTTTTCTTGGTATTTTATCTATTCAATTATATGGTTTTATAAAGCTCTAATTATTATTCACCAATTCCAATCCACATGTCACAAAGTTTTCATCTTCTCACTATAACTCCTGGAAACTCAAGCCAGGAAAGCTTTCCATCAGCTACCACACAACAAATCCACAAATCAGATTAAATTAAAGATAAATAAGACATGAAGATCACCTTGACCTCAACGTACCTCCAGGTAAGCTGATTGGCCCGCAGCCTTTGCCCTGAGGGTCCTCTTCCACGATGAAGATGCTCTTCTTGCAGAGCCTCCAGAGGCCAAAGTGGGCCGCCTCGCAGGTGGCGTTGAGCTTCTCCACCCGGGGGCTGAGCACAGCCCAGTGGTCAGTCACCACCGCCGCCAGCATTGCTGACATGCCGACGACGATCACCACGGATGTGATTTTGACCTTGGTCGCCTGCTCCTCGAACATGCTTGTGGTCTTTTCCGAGCCAATGACGCAGGTTTGCACGTCCCTGCGAGTGTGCGAGTCAGTCAAGGTTGTCTTTGTGCTGTTTTTCTTCAGGTCCTTGGTGTCAGATGTTGACTCTGGAGGTTCCCACGTCCGGACTAAAGCTTCACTTCACTGCTGGTGTCCTCTCCTTCTCTCCAAGGCTCTTTCTTTCTCATTCTCTGCTTTCTGCCTGGTGGTTGGTAAAAAGGGGCCAGATAACAGTGCCCTAGTTTCTACCTCGCTCCTCTCTTCCTCTCCCTCCCTTGTCGCCTTTAGTGAGCTGAGGCCATTCAAATATAAGTAGACGATGTACCTGATAGAGCTGACACCTGTACACTAAACACTACCCACCAAGTGGGTTAAGATCAGATGCTTTCAGTTTAAGTTTTGCTACAGTCTGTTGATCATCTGTACTTTTGCAGTTTGACTGCAACATCAAAGATGATACAGTAAAAAATCTCCAGCAAATGTTGACAGTGCTTTTCAATATTTCACTGATATGCCAAATACAGATCAATCCATCATTTATCCAGAACATTCACTCTCCCATCTCTCTGTCATATTCTTATTCAGTCCAATCCATTTCCAGCTCAATTGTCTCAGGCTCTCTGTGCCAGGGGACTCCCGAGGCAAAGATGTCCTCTATTAGTTGTCTTCTGAATAAGCTGATCTACTTATTTAGCCAATCAGAAGTCAAGGTTTGACCCAAGGGTCCCACCTGATGCCAGCAGCTGATCCAGATACAGAAAAACACAAAAGAAGCCTCTAAAATTTGGGGTTTATTCGACTGACAGAAGAGTGTTATTTAACACGTGTGTGTGTGTGTGTGTGTGTGTGTGTGTGTGTGTGTGTGTGTGTGTGTGTGTGTGTGTGTGTGTAAAGACTGAAATCCTACAGGTGTCTTTGGAAAGCTGCATACAGAAGTGCTTTCATCATACCCCAAATCTGATTTTATACAAAATGCTTTTAGAGGTGTAACCAAAAAACAAAATATGACACTGTTTGAAGATGGGGGGAAAATCTGGTAAAGCCTGATGCACTTCAAAGGCACAATCAACCATTTTCCTATGAAAGGCTTGAATAAATGGACATGCTTTTAATAAACCACTGTGACCCACATTAGACAGGACTCTGGCCCATTTTCTGTCCTGCAACACTCACACAGCTCTGCGCTATTAAACCACTGAAAGGCAAAACATTAAACCAAGAGCACACAAAAAAGAAAAAGTCAGGGGAAAGTCGCTTGAGAGGATGAAGGATATAATGCTGGCACACCAGTCTGATATCTCATCTTCTTAGAAATGAACTTAATGTGTGAGGATCAGAGTGTTTTGTAGCCATCAGTAACTAACTCAACCTAGAAATTGATCATAAAAGATAAATCATCTCCTATTTGCCTTAAATAAAGAACACCCACTGTGGGGGGCGAGAGGAGATGAAAAACAGTTGTGTTCATTATCGCATCTCACCTGCAGCGAAAACTGCTTTTTCTCCCAAAGGGCCAGTCGCTTGTCAAGTCTGTGAGAGCAGCCACTTGTCTCTAACTGTGTAATAATAGTGTCTTTTGGTGCTTCCTGTCTTGCAGCGTGGCCCTCTGACCTGCTTCATTTGCTCGCGATCCCCCGGTGACTGTGGAGAGACCAAACACCTCACAGCGGCGCAGTCTCTAAGCAACAGCCGTGTCATACTGGAGGGATCACCCCATGCCAGTCGACCGGCGGGGAGAGACACTGAAAAGAGATGACAGCATCTGGCAAGAAGGCAGCTCTGACTCACTTGTGAGTGCCACTCGATGAATTGTTATCAGCATTACCGGGAGTATCACATGTGAGCCGTCAGTGCTGGAAATGTGCAATGACAGTAACGAAACGTACAAAAGCACCTCTCCTGAAATCAGGACTGCCACGTCTGAGCTCAGCAGTGATTAACTTCAATTATGGCAGCCAGCTTCCTTGTTAGAGTTTTTATTCCGGGATGAAAAACAACCTTAATTGGTGGCTAATTTTACCCATACCAGACTAGATTGCACAGCCTTCAGAGGGACCCAACTGTATTCATTTCCTAATGACAGGCAACATTACTCAAGCTAAATTAGATTACCCATGCCCCAAGGCCATTTCTATGAAGGTCATGTTAATATTCTTCTATAAAACGATGGGATTGGATACAACACACGTTCGCCTCGGTGGCACCACCCTCACGTTTTTGTCTTGTTCTAGCAAAAGCTTTGACCATCGATTTATGGGGCAAGGTTTAGCTAAGGGGATTTGGGATGGTGAATTGTGAGTTAATTGTGAGCATGGGTTGAAGAAAAATGAAATTAGACTGAAATTACAAAGGGTTGGTTTAGCTGCTGTACAGCAACATCAGATATTAACATCTGAAGATAACTCCCCTAATTAGATTAAAATGAACCAACACCAGTGTGATTACACCTATAAATGAGTAATGCAGTTTTCATTTTGGATGCGAAGCTAAATGTGGAGTATCTCACTGTGTATCCACCAGCACACATGATGCAGATATTCCATATATGGTGTATTGTGCAGTAATAGCAGCTACAACACATTTGACAAAATACATAGCCTTTTGGAAATGAGGAAGAAAATATGGGCAGCTTTATTTAGCATCACCAATTCCTCTCCTTTGCTCACAGACTGAATCAGCCGGGTGACTCTTGATATATATATTCTTAAAAATTGCTTCATTTGTCCAGGTGGTATCGCTGTGAGTGAGAGTGCAGCAGCTTTTCAACATTTTGATCTATAGATCTCTGCCATCAGTGTGATTCCTGCTGATTTATTTCTTTGTCAAACAATGTGGATCCTCCAAGGCTGAAGTGGCTCATAGTTTATTCAAGATGACAGTGATTCAGTCTCATGCAGCTGAATAGAAGAGGCATTTAGGACTCTGAGAAGGTCAGACAAACATCTGAATGAACCATTGAACTTTCATTGAAAAACAAGCTGCATGAAGAGGATTGCACGTGGCTGTAAATAGCTGATAAATTTGCTTTACTTGCCAGCATAGCAATGATGCAGTTGTCCCTTAACAATCTGGTAATGTTTTCATTTTGTTTGCTGCTGTTTCACCCCCCCCCCCCTTTTTTTTTTTTGCTAAACTGTGAATGCTTATTATCACAAAATCAACAGGTTCAACGTCAGAATGACTAATCAACGAGAAGGAAGAGAAGGCAGTGTAACTGCAGCAAGCAGTGCAATCAAAGCTGTCTGCTAACATGTCGCAAGTCTCTGATGCAAATTCTAAAAATCAGATCATCAGCGGCCACATGACAAATAAGCAAGGATCGTGCTTGTTAAGTAAACTCATGGAGACTAAATCTCTGTGTAAACTTCTTAAATGGGAACACAGATAGGTGGCACTCAAAGAAACCTCAACAGAAATCTCTGACAGAAGATTGTCCCTATAAGACTACTTTAAAAAGGTATGAAATTAACTTGCAAATAGTAGATGACCAACTCTACCTCCTGAACTATAGTACCTAAAATGCACTTGATTAACTGATCCTCAGCTTTTATAGAGAGAACCACTATAAAAGCTGAAGTTTTGACAGTTTGCTGCTCTGAAGCATTCAGGTGTGCATTAACACAATGCTACAATCTTCCCAGGAGTGGATGTCTCAGCAAATTTGCCCCAAGGTCAGACCATGCAATGTTCAGAAAAACTGCAACAAACCCAAGAGCTTTATCTCAGACTCTTCAGGCCGGCGTTAACACCTTGAATGTTAAAGTTCATGACAATCAAGTCAGTAAAAAAAGTCAGTTTGGGAGGGTTGCAGGAGAATGCCTCTTCTTCTTTAACTTTGCAAACCACAAAATCACGAGGCCAAAAGTGGAGAAGCACAGTGCCATGTTTCATGAAAATCAAACACAGCATATCAGCACAAACACATCATAACTGTCAGGCACGCTGGTGGAGGGATGATGATTTGGGCTTGTTTTACAGCCACAGGACCGGGGCACCTTGAGTTGACTATGATCTCCTCTGCATACCAAACTATGCTAGAGTCAGCTGTGAGGCCAGCTGTCCAACAGCTAAATCTTGGCTGAAACTTGGCCAGGTAACAGGACAATGACGACAAGCACCGCAGAAAAGGAAAAAAAATTGCAAGGCCCAGTCAAAGTCAGGACCTCAACGTGAGTGAAATGATGGCGGGACAGAGAGAGCTGTGCATATGCAAATGCCCCAAACCTCAATGAACTGATGCAACACAAGATAAGTGGGTCAAAACTCCTCCACAGTGATGTGAGGGGCTGATAAAAATCATGATTATGCCAGATTACTAGGCAGCAGTTCATAATAATAACACACTGTTGAGGAATGGTTAAGCATTACTTAATACTTAATTCATTATTTTAAAGTATAAACTAGTACTTTACTAATGATTAATAGTGTGTAGTTATTATAAAGTGTAACCAGTTGTAGCTTCTACAAGCTATAAACTCATTGGATGTGCTTAATTTTTCATGGGACTACATAAATACATGTAAACTTTCTTTTAGGTTGATTGTGATTTATAACTTCGCCGCCAACCTGTTAAAGATGATATGATGATATGATACCAACAGTACCACTAGCATGTTAGTAATGCCACTATGAACACGATAGTGTGCACTTAAAAATCACAGCTGAACACAAAGTTTAACCCTGATTTTGTTTATTTATCTGTACACGTGATGTTTGGGGTAGTACCTAAAAAGTGGCAGAGACAAAAACAGTGTAAATTCAGATTAAATAAAAATGCTTTTTGATTGGAACATTAAAAGCAGGTTTTACAATAGATTATACGTCGAACAAAGGCACTGAAAATATCCTTACAATAGTGATGATATTGTGGCCGGTTTGGTTGTTTTAACATGGAAATGTACTTTTTCTTCTCTGCCTATTTAAACAAAACAGCTCATCCGACTCTCTTCCCTCCAGAAAATCCATCCTCAAATGTTTACAGTTAATTTTCTTGATGAAGAAAAAGAATGTGCTTATATCCATAGTAAGCCATAAATCAACATAAGCACATACAGTAAGGTACAGCTGCTTCATACACATGGAATAGAAAATATAGTTTCTCTTCCTAAACAGACTTACTGCACTTCACCGTACAAAACAGAATACGTAATAGATTCACAGCAAAAACAGCGTGTGTTTATCTGAATATAAAAAGGTCAATTGAAACACATAACCACTGCCAGATTTATCAAGGCATTATTATTGTTCTGTAAAATAATGCTTTGAATCTCTGTTCATGTCTCTGCACATTCAGCTTTTTTTCTCTGTGCTTATATATACACAACTTTGCAGCTTTACATTACAAACATATTTTTCCCCACACTGTAATATAAAAGTGAAAGATTTACACTCAGAACAAATCATACTGATGGCTTCATATAACATGTGCTCAGCTGGATATGTGAAGTGATATCTCTAA